CTGTTTAAGCTCACTCACGTAACAGCACCTATCAAGAATATAGTATCTAGGAACAGTTGGTCGTCCTAAAAACTTTTCGTCCTTGGTACATAAACTACTATCGTATACCTTTTATTTAAAACAAATTACTTACATCTATTAGCTTGTTGAACGAGATGAATCAAAAACATTTATTAGGACAAAAGGGCCAAGTTTTTCACGCTCAGACCAAAGAAGTAATTTTACGCCTGATTAACTTTATGAAAGACGAGGCTGAAAATGGTGTTAAAATACCATTGGACAAACACAGAGAGAGTTTTAGCTGCTACAGGAATATCTTTGAACAGTTATTGTTCAACGTATGATGCTAAAATGACTACATTTCTTTTAGATAGCCTTCTACAAGAAAGTGGACACGACGTTCTGCGTTTGTCTCCATATCGTCCCGAATTAAATCCCATAGGGAAAATATGGGCCCAAGTAAAAAACTGAGTGGGCCAATACAACACAACATTTAAATTGAATGATGTTGAAACATTAACAAGAGAAAAATTAGAAAATATAACCCGAGGAATGGGCAAACGTGGTTGATCATTGTTCGAAATATGAGGATGCGTATATTCATAAAGAACATTTAAAGGATGGATATACAGATTTAATGTAAATACAGAATCATCTGACAAGTGGGATTCAGAATTGTCGGATATTGAAAATTATAATTGAAGTAGATAATCACAAATTATTTATTATTAAGTAAAATTTTCAGTTGTTTTAATAATTTACAGTTTATTAACAATTTGTCAAACGATAGTCGAAATTCTGACTAACACTTTTCATTTACGAGTATTTCAGATTTAAAATATTTTATAAATGTACACACGCCACTGCTAAAGAAAGCGCTGGGTGTCAGGTACCCCTACCGTAAGGGATTTTAGATCAATGTCGTCAAATAACCAACCTCCTTCTGCCTGCGTGAAATTAGACAGTTTGTTAGGCAATATACTCTTCAGATAGTAATAAAATATGCCGGAATACCCGTATTGATATTTTGATCCATTTTTGTGACCCTCTGGTTGGTCTGCACATACAATTAGGTAATTTCTCTTCTAATTTCAGCATCTATATCTACATCAATTCATTTTTTTTTATTTTAATAAGTTTCATCCAGTATTTTTAAAACCTTCCGATGTTTCTTCTCGTAATATTAACTTTTTGTTGTAATAAAATTGAGAATAAAAACCTTTCCCCTGTTTTTTATTTACACTTTTTTTGCACCACACTGTACAAGTTGAAATTAACCACACCACTATAATTGGAAAAATAATATCAATTATCATTTTTCCAAATACATGATAATTAAATAAGTAACCGACTTTGACACTATGATTCACCTAAAAAGCATTTGATTAATTTGTTTACATGAAAATGTGTAAACTTCCACTAATAGCCGTGCCCATCAAAGGTATTAATCGGAAAATAAATGAAAAGAAAACAATCTCATAATAAAATATTTTAATATATACAGTTTGTACAAAAGCTTACATAATTTTACAAAATAAGTATTTGCTTATTTACTTTACAATATGTGGTTTTCATTCGATTAAATAAAATTAAGGAAAATTGTTAGAAAATTATGAAAAAATTTTGTTTTCTTTAATTTAGATGATAATTGTCTAACAAGTTTCGGAATTGTGAATTGCTGGTAATCTTGAAAATATTTGTATAAAGGGTGCTACTTGTCTACATTATAGAATTTTTGCAAACTCAGTTTTAATAATTTTTAAAGCGGTGTTGGTAAACTTTTTGAAAAATCGTTTCTATCATGATGCATACTGATTAGATCATGCTACATAATTGGAAAAATTGAATAAAGGTTCAGTCGCTAATACCTGGCAAAACTTATTTGATTTTAAAAATAGCACTGCTAGTACATTTTTGCTTCTTTTGATAATATATTTTTAAAAAAAAATATTGTCTGATTGAAGATGTTTTTTAAACATATAATTTTAAAAACGTGTGTCAAATTAGGAAAAAATTTTATATATATATATATATATATGATTCAAATAATATTTTTTTTTTCAACCCTATTGGAAAGATCGTCAATATTATTTTTAAAATAACATACACTGTGATAGTTTCGAATCAAATCCAAAATATTTTTAATGTTGCAAGCTGCTTTTGAATTTTGTGAAAAATTAATAGAAAAATATTTAATGAGAAAAAGTAATACCACTGAATAAATAAAGAAAAAATTTATTTTGATAATTTCATAGCATAAGTAGGTACTGTTAAAAATTAAAGAAAATTATGTTTCGACTAGGGTGGGCAAAATTATCGATTAGTCGATTAACTTTTTTTTTGAAAAATCGATAATCCCTTCATCGATCATTTTGGATTAATTAATTAATTATTTTCGATTAATCAATTATTTTCGATTAATCGATTATTTACGATTTTTGTTTTTGTTTATTATTTTTTTTTAGGAACATTTTTAATCACTTAATTACCTAGCTTGCTTTTAAAATAAAATATTTATTTTAGTGTAAACTGTTTTTTAATTTGAATTTGTATTAAATATGGTTAATGCCTTCGTTCGTGATTATTCAGAACTACTAATTCATACTTTCAACGCATGTTCGATTCATTATTAATTCTGAATTGTTACCGCGAACGCAACTTCTATTAAATTTCGGTATTTAAGGTAGGGGTGGGAAAAATAATCGATTAGTCGATAACATTTTTGTGAAAAATCGATAATTGATTATAATCGATCAATTGATATTTCTGATTAATCGAATACTTTCGATTAATAGATTATTTCGATTAATAGAATTATTCGATTATCAATTATTTCGATTGAACTAATAGTTCCATTATTTGATTATTTGGACCAATCGACTATTTTAATTAATTGATTATTTTGATTAATCGATTAATCGAAAATAATCAATTAATATCGATGGTCGGTTATTTATTCTGATAGTCGCCTAGCCCTAGTTTCGACATAGCAGGTGAATGTGAAACGTAGATTCAAATACGTAAAAATATCTCGGTTGTTTTTAAAAATACAAGAAAATGTCAAATATAAAATTTTTACGATTAGCATAGGCGCCTATAGTAAAAATATTTTCAAAAAGAAAGGCAACTTTTTTTTGTATTTTTTGTTTTTGAAGATTCCTAAAAATCAATATATTTTGGTCTCCAACACAGCAATTTATTTCAAGCTTTTGACATCAGGAAATTTACTTTTTTTAGCTGTAGCATCCAAATGCTTGAAGTTAGGGTAAAAACGGTTTACATGTCCCTATCCTAGTTTTTTCATATTCTATCTGGATACGACAGATATTGGACTAATTGAATTAAAAAAAAAATACAACTTCCGGTGAATCCGGAAGTGGGTTATTTTATTGTATATTTGTACAAAGTATAAAAACACAGAAAGAGACATATTAACCGTTTTATCCTAATTTCAACGGTGTTACCGTCTGTCAAATTGTGAAAAGTCAATTTTTGAAATTCCAAATGCTTGGAAAATAACTGAATTTAGACATATGGTATTTCAGACAAAAATACTTATTTTTTTTTGCAGAATTCAAACATAAAATAATAAAATTTAAAAAAATAATGTTGATGTTGCCTTGCCCTTTGGAGACACTCTGTATGTTGGAAAATATTTTCATAATAGGTGCCTCTGTGAATACTTTTTCCCGTAATTTCATAAACAACCGGTATATTGTATTTTCACACACTAATAGGTCTATACACTATGGCCCATTTTAAAATCAAAATTTTGAAACTAGGTCTGAAAAAATCAATGTATCTCATTCAAAAAACAAGCTACTGAAGATAAATCACTAGTATATATAAATTCAAATTTTTAATTATAATTTCAGGTTGATACTTTTCTTACCTATATACAAGGTATTTAAATAAATATAGAAAAAGTGGATTTATATTAAAGATAATTTAAATGGAAGTAAATTTCATTTTTAAAAACGTACGTTTTAGGTAGGTTACAAAATGAATAATTTATTGAAGCACCCTCATAGATTACTCAATTTTCAAAATTCCAGCTATTCTATTCTACCGAATCGAATAATTACTCTGTACAATATGCACATTTCTAAAAATTATTCAATAAATACTCCTTATCCAGGTACTAATATATTACACTTGACTGATTTTTGCATTGCTTTGAAGTGTACAGGGGACAGTCAAAATATATAAAAAAAATTAAAATATTTAAAAATTCGTTTGCTTTTTTATTATTGCTCACCTTGTACACTTCTCATAAACTTTATATAAATGAATTTCACGTTCCCTGTAACATAAACACCTTGATCTATTTAAATTGTTTAGTATATGTCATAAATATGCCATAATATTGTTTGGTTAAAACGAAGGTTCGTGAAATTGTTGTTTTTTTGTACAGTTATTTTAGATTTAAAAAAATATTGCCGAAATCTGGAAATGTACATACAAGATTAGTTATTATTTAAAATTTTCGATAAAAATACTGCCATATACATTTTTAGAAAATGTTGTTTTGTGAGACCCTGTATACACATTGTTCAGATTACTATATTAGAAAACTTAACTTTCAAGACTAGATCAAAGAAATAATTATTACAATAAATATATGTATTAAAAAATATTTTAAACCGTAAAAACGTTCTTTAGAATATAAAATTAAAGAACCTTTTTTTTATTTTGTAAAAATTATTTTCGTCGTGAAATAATTTTACGTCGTGTAAAATTATTTTTATCCTTTTTTGAAAATTATATAAATTTTTCGATATATTTGATTAAATAAAATTGAAATTAGAGATAAACAAATAAAAACACAAATCTACATTTGATATAAACTTTTTCTTATTTTTTTTTAAACTCTTTTATTTTAATTTCACAGTAATCAAATAAATCATAAATTTTATAATAATTATGAAATGAAAAAAAAAAACAAAATAAACAAAACTATGTCCGCTTTATATTGAATTAAAAAAATATATATATTAAAACTCTGACATTAAAAAAAAAAATGAAAAAAACCATACAAGAAAGGTAGTGGCTTTCTGAGTGGATAAGTCGTAAATTTTTCTAAAATAACTGTACATCAGTAAATCTAAAAAATTAATACAACTCTTACAAAAACAAACTAAAATTAGAATCACAGATGAAAGAGAATATAGTCAGCGTACGCCGAATAGTTTAGGTTAAACCCTCTTTTGCGTACAAGTCGGTATTTTCACTGGGACAACAAAATTGTTTTCATTTTTTTTACCCTATAGTCCAGTACTCAGGTATGTGGTACCAACGAGTCACAAAAAAAGTGTCGAACGGCGGTTTCGAGTCGAGTCGACCATAGTCGACGTGCGAGTAAATTTTTGGAAGATTCATAACTTTTATTAATATAAAAAACAAAATTAATTTTTAATAGGTATAAAACAAAAATTTGAGATACCCATAAAGAATAAAATATGTCCAAATTAGAAATTATTTCTATATTTTTTATGAAAAACAATTGAAAAGTTTAAACATTTAAATTTTTTTTGTTAATTTTACTCAAAAAAACTATATTAAATGAAAAAGTAAATTAATTTTTGAATATCTATAAAGTTCTATCACGTAGTCTTAAAAATCTCTAATATGTATTATTCTTTCTCTATTTATAATATTAACCAGCTGTATTTAATACATTGTATTATTTAAATAAATAAAATTTTCTTGTGTAATCGATAAGTAGCATCAATTTTATAAGAAAAATAATGTACCTATTGATTAAATAATAAAAAACAATTAAATATTGCTGAAATTCCTTAGAACTATAATTTTAAAGTACACTTGGCAACATCACTCAGATTTTTCATTGTTTTGATGAATTTTTTTGCTACGACTTGTGAAAAAATAATCTAATTATTAAAAAGTAATTAAATATGGTTGAAATTCCTCTAAAACCAATACTTTATAATTGTTTTAGTGAAATCTGAATGCAAGAATACACTTAATAGCGTACCTATTTGAAAGTTATTTGGGAAAACTGATGATACAAATGACATGTTTAATTAAATTAATTGGTTTACTTTTAAAATCGATCATGATATCGATTGTATAAGAAACAATAACTTTCTACTTGTTTAAATGTTGAGAAGTTATAAAACGTGATTGGAATTCTGTAAAACTACAACTTTTAGAGTAGCTACACCTACCAACTTTGCACAGATATTCTTGGTGCTATACAAATAAAATATTTGTTTAACTACTAAAATCGATCAATGATATCGATTTTATAAGAAACAATAATTTTCTACTTGTTTAAATGTTGAAAAGTGGTAAAACATTATTCCAAATCTTTAAAATCACAACTTTTAGAATACAACTAGCAACGTCGGTCAGATTTGTTATTGTTTTAATGAATTCTTGGTGCTAGGACAACTTGTTTATCTTTAAAAGTTCTGTTGTGACATTGACGATGTAAATGAAATGCATGAATTAATCAGTACACTTGGATATTAGAATATCTTTTGTAGCTTATTTGAAAGTATATAGGAAAACTGAATATGTAGATGAAATGTTTGATTGTACATAGATATCTTCCTTGTCAAAATAATAAAACTAAAACCCACCATTCGGCATATTTCTTTGGTATACCAGGAGGTACAATATCGTGTAATACTCAAGTACTGTACTATTAGCCTCAAATTTCAAAGATCACAGACGTGGTTACTGAAATACATGCCACAAAATTTCACTACCGGCACCCACACCCTACCACAACCATTTCTTTATAGTTTTTTAAAACAACTTTGTTCTCCTCGTCCACGTACAGCATGGAAATGGGATTGAGATGAGTGGGCACGCAACACGACTTCGGCACCTTCTGGGGATTCACCGAATTCATCAACGTCTGTACGATCGCGTGATTAGTCGTGTTGAGGTGCGAGGCTAACGGAAAATTGCACTCGCCTTGACAGTAATACGCATCGTACCCAGGCGGAGCCACTATCCAATCGCTCCAACCGACCTCTTCAAAGTCCACGTACATTTGGTGTTTGTTGCAGGGATACCTTTTCTCGTTTTTCGATCTGTTGTGCTTCTTGGAGTTTCTTCTTCTTCGTTTGACTTGAGCCAGCTCCGCACCACGTCGCTGCCTGTTCTTTCCGTCATCTGTGTAAGCCAGTAATAATGGCTGCACGTGATTCCAACTGCTGTCAGTATCATGTAAGCTTCTGCGCAACCGTATGTGATGGCCAGGCGTTGTTTTATTCCTTCCTATACCTTTAACCGAAATCAGAATCCCGTGGTTGCCTTTGGGATCCTCCAACCATCTTTGTACGGCGGGAAATACGTCTAAACTAACCGTACCATTTTTTCTGCTATCGACCAGTTTACTGTCTATTAACCTGGTTATAGGCGGTCTCTTTCCTTTTATACCAGGTTGCGTTATATCGCTAACGAGTATTCTTTGGAAAAACTCTTGGTCGTTATCCGTCAACCAGTTGATTTCTTTGCGGCTGAGGGTCAGCTCTGCTGCTGTTATCTTCTCTTCGTGCGGCACTGATGAGACGTCGAATTTTAACCTGAATTTGTGGTGAGTGGAAAACCTCGCGTCCACTGGGCTTTCTGAAAATAAAGAAACACTGAGTTAAAATAATTTAGTAGCAAATACGTAAATTGTTTGTTAATTGATGTATATTTAATATTGTGGAGTGATAGGTAAGAAGGCGAATCGATATATACACTCAATGCCATCCCAAAAAACGAACGTTAATCGAGTTTTTAGAATTCATCGAAATGCGCTAGTGTTCCAAATGATATAAATATGATTTCTTATGAGGATTTTACATAATTTTGTAAAAATATTATAAATAAACTAGTAAACTAGTAATTAATTTTATACAAGTCTTAATTATTTGAATTCTTAAAATATTTACTATTTACAAAGAAAATTAGAGTCACTCAAGAACGATCCGCCAACCACACTCCATTTTGCTAAAACGAGGACAGAAATTTAAAATTTGTCCATTGTCGATTTATAATTTAATTATCATGATTTACATTTATATAAATATACTTTGGCAATCAAAGTATTAACGAACGCTTACTCTCAACAGATTAGTGTCAACCGGCAACTCAAATTCTGATAAAAGCGAGGAAGTAATCACTAAGGTCAAAACGTACCCATATTTCGGAAATCACTTTAAAATTCGGTGATTCCGCTGAAAATCCACCTTAATTTTATACGATGACTTTTTTTGGACTATTCTCATTTGATCCACAAGCTGCTCGAATTTACGTTTTTAAGCGACAAATGATTTCAGCGATGATTTCGACCATGATTTTCGATGATTTTGGAATTTTTGTAGTAATTTCGAGTGAAAACGTACCAGTATTTCGGGAGTGGTTTACCCATCGGCTAAAAGATTTATATTTTTGTGCAACCTCAATCTATTACAGTTAAGAAACGTACATACATAAAGCATTTCGCATCGATATCATATTTTAATTAAATATAGATTTCCAGGTGTGACAAGTGAGTGTGTTTGATATTATTTAATTAAGTATGAAATATTGTATAACATAATGACCGTCCCACTTTCGCTACCGAGAGGCAACAACAACAAACAACACAGTCAACTGATCGCAGGGTCGTGCGAATGGTAAGTAAATCGGGGTCGTTCGCATCAATGTAAAATAGTTATTTGTTTAACTAGGCAAAGAAGTAACAGCTTTACTGCCGCGGTTAGCATTATGGCAGTAAATCTGTTTCCATGCCGTGTGAAACATATATTTTTTTTTACGATTGTTTATACAGTGTGTTTAAAAAGTGGAACTAAAACGAAAACTTCTTTTAAGTATCACTGATATGTAACTTACGCATTTTTAATATACATTCTAATCGTTTGTTTTTATAACTATATACTTTCAATTCTTATAGAAATATACTTATAGTAACTTAATAGTTAAATTATTAGAGTAACTTTTTTGGATAGATGCTCATGCAGAGCAAGACTTCAAAAGAGAAAAGAAAAAGTGAATTTTTAATGCATAGGCAGTAAAAAAGATTTAATTTTTAGAGTTACTTCTATGAGAAATGTCACTAAAAGTGACATTTAATGTCAGTCTGAGAAAACATACTTTGCTGACCCACACAGAGGGAAAATCTATGAAGACTAGATATAAGGAGGCGAATCGGCGTTGGTCAAATTTCAAATTTCCGTCCCTATTTTTATGGAGTTCCAAAAAACTACTGTAGTTGGCGGGTGGCAAAATAACGACGTCTATTTTCTATGCAAGTCAATGGGAATTAAAGTGATTTTTGTAAAATTTAGTGAAAAGAATAAAAATAAGCTGAAATAAAGAACCTGACTACAAGTAACAATGAGTAACAAAAAACGGAAAAGCAGGATTTCTTCGTTTCGGGTTGAAAAACGGGATATAAATCCGATATAAAATTAAAGAAAACACAAGGAGATAAAAATCCAAGTCTTTTTAAAGCTCCTAGTGTAAGTAAAATAATGTATTTATTTCTAAATAATATATATTTATTGTAAAATAGTCACAACCCGTATCTTACGGAGTGTAGTTTATTAAATTACAAAATTTTATAATAAAAAATAATAAAGTCTTAAATCCTGACTTACAAACAACAATAATTACACATTAAATTTAACTTACTAGAAAGGAAAATTTGCTTTTTTTTATGTTTTTTGATTTTAGATGAAGAGTTACTACTGTTATTTTTCTTTATTGAACTTCAATTTAGTCATTGCAAATATTTTTTATAGGATCCTAAACGTTTAGAACAATGGCAGCATGTGATTCCTAGGGCTGATAAAATACTGTCTAGTTATGATTCTGTTTGCAAGCTACACTTTTTAGAAGATGATATTTTAAAATTTGATGAGACTATTTTAACTAATGGTACTGTTAGCAAAATAAAAAGGGGACAGCTGAAATTAAAGGATGAGGTAATACCATGTACATTCCCAAATCTTCCTTTATAGTTGTATTACAACAATAAAAAATCTGTTAACTGTGTTTTATTTTACTCTTAAAACTATATATTGGTTCAATTCAAAAAAAAAATTTGCCACAAAATTGTACTTATCAAATTTCAGCAATTAAGAAACCTTTTCGAATTTGGTCATACATACCAAAATTGTATTTTATATAGATAAAATTAAATAATTTATCAATTAAAACATGCAAGACTTATTTAGAAATAAATACAACAGTATGTTCTGTGCTTTATTTAGCTGTAAACAAGTTTATTTTTATTATTTTGACAAAATTATGTATAATTCCCATAAGAAGCCATGTATTTCGAACTACGTAAACCGTACCAGCGCCCATGTGGTTAATTATAAAAGCTCAATTGACGTGTGATTTTTGGGACCGTATTTTGAGCATGCCGATTCGCCTCCTTACCTCTAGTCTTCATAGGAAAATCATTATAATAAATTCATGGAGGTACTGGATCTGGTATCAAGGGCGCCATATCGTTATCATGTTAATGCCATTTGTGACATTGACATGCATTTTGTTGAGTGTGCTATATTTTTCGGTATTTATTGTGATCGCCTTATTTTTTATATAATGTTAGTTGAAAGATCTTAAGGTATCTTGTGCTTTACGCGGTTGTACAAGCCGCTATCGTACAGGTACAATCATCGGGGATAACACATAGGTTAGTAAACAGAGTCGTACTGAACAAAAGTATGTTTTTCTAAACATTTTTTTTTTACAGATTTTCAGTGTGTTATATATTCAAGATATTTATTTGAAGAACATTTTGATCGATATTGATGGAAAAATGACGGTATCCCAACAATTTATGTCTGTACTTATAATTAAGTTAAATTACTATATGAATTCTTATTTAAAACTATAAATAAAAACGTTTTAGTAGTTGTATTAGTAGTTGTATTAGATTGAAGAACTTGGCCTGTTGCTCTGCAGGATACCTTATCTACTTTTTATGTAATTTAGTATCTACTTGTTTTGTCCATAGATCTGTTTCAATAAAATGGTTATAATGATTACATAATTCGATAGTTGGTGTGTTTTGGATTTATCTTGTCATTAGCATCAGCTATAGTAGCTTCTAAATGCTAGTAGCAGTAAAGGCAGAGTAAACGTTGTGAAAGGTACGTTAAAACGATATTATTAATTGATATTGTAATGGTTATAGCATTTTGGAGAAAACAAACCAAGTAATATATACATTAAAAAACCGGCCAAATGCGAGTCAGACTCGCACCATCGTACAAGATTTAATACTATGTAGGTACTTTTTAAATACTTTAAGATCGAACAAAAAGCCAAAAAACACGTTTCTAGTAGAGGAGTTACCTTTAATTTTTAATTTATTTTTATTATTTGTTGTTATAGCGTCAAAAGAAATACACATTCTGTGAAAATTTCAACTGTCCACCTAAAAAACCTAAAAATGGTATATTATCATTTTTTTCATAAGAAAGGGATGAGTAAAGCTTGGAAAAAACCGTGGTATCTAAATTTATAACTTGTAGTAGGTACTTATAATAGTAGGTGCTAATAATGATAATTAGTATTATGCTGTTCATCTAAATAGCCTGTAAGTAGGTATATACCTATTATTAAATAGGATATAGCTAAACAATTCAAATTGAGAGGTTTTAGCCTACGTTCACTTCGACACGTAGATATACCTAATTTTAGAGCTCAATAGTAATAAGAAAATGACAGAAACCCTATCTTTCTGTTTCACAGGGTGTGAAGGTGTACTCGAAATAATAATTTGATTTAACGCGATAAAGTAGGAAAACAAAAAGATGAATTTTTACAAAGTTAAAAAATACCAGTGGCGTTACAATTAAGGATTAAAAAGCTTACAATTATTTAATAATATTAAAATAAACGTTTGACAAATATTTTATGTCCGTTTTATTATTTACCGAGCTATATTTTTTTAGTATGTATCATCTCAAGGATTGTTCATTTACATATGTAGATATCTACATAAAAGCATAAAAAACCATAAAAATAATATCGCAACTAATATTGAAAATTCCTAAATATGTGTTAAAAAATTTGCATTCTTTCGATTTGGAAAATGTAAGAATTCTCGAGAATTAACCCTATCTCAACAAAAGAGCAATCCTTGAGATGATACATATTAAAAAAAATATAACTCTGTAAATAATAAAACGGACATAAAATATCTGTCAAACGTTTATTTTAATATTATTAAGTAATTGTAAGCTTTTTAATCCTTAATTGTAACGCTATTGGTAATTTTTAACTTCTTAAAAACTCAACTTTTTATTTTCCTACTTTATCGTGTTAAACCAAATTATTATTTCCCCCATGTTTTATTAAATCTTGACTGCACCAGAAGATGGAAAACATTTTTCCGAAACATATGTAGTTCTTGTGCTTAAACGATAAAAAATAAAAACATGATCGAATAAACCAAGGATATTTTTATTTATATAAAATTCTGCTACGGTCAGGTAATTATCCTTATTCATTTGATTTTTATTATAATATTCTTTTTTTGGATAAAATAATATACGAGGATATATATTTATGAGGTCATAATACAATGAGCTTACAGTGTTATTAGAAACCAAGTCAGA